AGGGGGAGAAAGAATGACACCTTCTGGTCACTGTTTCACTCCCCATATGGCCACAACAGCCAGGACAGGGCCAGGCTGAAGCCAGGAGCCAGGCAGGAGCTTCTTCTGGGTTTCCCATGTGGGTGCAGGGGCCCAAGCACTTAAGCCATTTTCTTCTGCTTTTCCCAGGCCATTAGCAGGGAGCTGGAGCGTAAGTGGGGCAACCCGGACGTGAACTGGTGCCAATATGGAATGCCAGCATAGCAGCAGCTTAACTGGCTATGCCACAAAGCCGGTCCTCTGAGAGTTCTCTTTCTCTCTGCGTATTCATGTTCCTGGATTTAGACTGCACTGAGTTCAGGCCATCTCATTGCTACATTGGCAGTTGAAAGGTAGAGTTGCAGAGAGAGAGAGAGAGAGATACACAGATAGATCCATTGATCTGTTGGTTCATTCTCCACGTACTTGCAACATCTGCAGCTGAGCTTGGCTGAGGCCAGGTTCCAGGAATTCTAGTGAGTCTGCCACAGGTATGACCAGAAACCCAAGTATTTGGTCCAACATCTGCTGCCTTCCAGGTTCATTAGGAGGAATCTGGATCAGAAGTGGAGGTGGAACTTAATCTCAGGCACTTTGATATGGAGTGTGAGTGTCCCAAGTGGTAGGTTAACCTACTTTGCCACACCACCTACAAATGTTTAGATTTTTATGTGTATATTTAAAGACTTTTCTACTGATTTTTTTATTCATTTGAGAGACAGATTTCTTCCATGTACTGGTTGACTTCCCAAATGTCCATGATAGCGGGGCTGGGCCAGGCTGTCATAGTCAGGAACATGCAGGTCACTCCTGGTCTCCCATGACCAGGTACTTTGACCATCACCTGCTGCTTCCCAGGATGTGCATTTGCAAGGAGCTGGAGTCAGAAGTGGACACTGAAGTGTGGGATGTCAGTGTCCAAGTGGTGTCTCAACCACTTCCATAGATTCTACCACATGGGTATTTTTAAAGTGAAAAATAGGCTATAATCTTATTTTCCTGTATTCTTTCTTGATTTGTTATGAGAATTACAATATCTTCAAAAAATGGGATGGTGTATTGTTCCAGTTTGATTCCTTGGAACAAGTGTATATTCATGGTAGATATTGGTCTTATTCAGTGTCTTTGGTTGATTTTTGCTATTAGTGTAAAGCTGATGTCATAGAAGTTGGGCAGTGTTCTTTTTTTTCCTGACAGGTTAGTATTATTCTCTTACGTTTGACAGAATTTCTCAAGAAAGCCATCCAGGCTTTGAATTATCTTTGTGGAAAGGTTATGATCATAAATTCAGTGTGTGTGTGTGTGTGTTTAAGATTTATTTATTTATTTGAAAGTCAGAATTACAGAGAGGCAGAGGCAGAGAAGGAGAAAGGTCTTCCATCCACTGGTTCACTCCCCAGATGGCCGCAATGACTGGAGCTGCGCTGATCTGAAGCCAGGAGTCAGTAGCTTCTTCTGGGTCTATCACAGGTGGAGGGGCCCAAGGGCTTGGGTCATCTTCTACTGCTTTCCCAGGCCACAGCAGAGAGCTGGATCAGAAGTGGAGCAGCTGGGACTTGAACCGGCACCCATATGGGATGCAGGCAATGCAGGCGGCGGGTTTACCTGCTATGCCACAGCAAACCCTCCCCCCCCCCCCCATTCACTCCTTTTTAATTCTATCTATTGTTATTACCAGACACTTGATACTATTAATATGATCACTTTAACACTTAATCCTATCTAGATGATCACTTTAACACAGTTTAAGATGACATTTTTACCACCCAGCTTAATAGAATTTGGGGTGATGGACCTATTACATTTTTTTGCTGACAACTTATATTTGTCTCTCTGTGGTCATTCCTTTTTCACCAAACTGTCATGGCTTAATTTGTTTTAAAAATTCATAATTAGTGTGTGTTTTCTTCATTGCAATTACCGTTATCATTTGTTCTGCTTACTGTGATTTACAGTGATTCAGTTGTATTTTAATTTTTTCTTCAGTAGAAGCTTAAATTATTGACTTGAGATTTTCTTTTTTAAAAAAGATTCATTTTATTTAGTTGAAAGGCAGAGTTAAAAAAAGGGGAGATATAGACAGAGATGTCTGCCATCTACTCTTTTACTCCCCAAATGGCTACAGTGGCCTGTGGCTGTGCTAAACCAAAGTCAAGGGTGTGTAACTCCAACCATATCTCCCACATGGGAGACAGAGAGGCCCAAGAACTTGGGCTATCTTCTGCCTTTCCAGGGGGCTGGACTGGAAGCAGAGCAGCTGGGACTCAAACTGGCTCTAGTGTGGAATGATGCCAGCATTACAGGTGGTGGCTTAACCACTGCGCCACAATTCCAGCCACAATAATTTTAATTTATTTTTAGTTATTTTAAAGGCAGAGAGACAGAGAAAGGAAGAGAGAAACAGAGAGACCTGGATTACCCAAACACCTGAAATAGCCAGAGCTGTCCAGGCTGAATCCTGAAACCTGGAACTCATTGTAGGTCTCCCATAGAAATGGCAGGAATCCCAAGTATTTGAGCCATCACCTGTTGCCTTCCACAAGTATTATTAGCAGGAAACTGGAATCAGAAGTAGAGGCAGCACTAAAAGCTAGCCACTGATAGATGGGATGCAGGCAGGCGCTCAAAGGGCATGAACTGCTATGTCATGCTCCCAATCCTGAAATAAATATTTTTGAGGAGTAACTGGACAGCTGATAAACTGATAGAAATTACAGACCAGATAGAACAAGTTGAAATAGGGTTTTGTCAAAAAAGTCAGTGATGGTCAGAGTAGTAGAGGATGAGAAACCCACAGTAGAAGCAAGACATTGATTTGGCGATAATTGAAAAACCCAGCTAAGCCGTATGTTTTTCAGTTTATTAAAAAATGGAAATTTGTAATTAAGAAGGACCCTGAAGGGAAAATCAAAAGTAAATTCTGGGCCGGTGCTGCGGCTCACTAGGCTAATCCTCCGCCTTGCAGCGCCAGCACACCGGGTTCTAGTCCCGGTCGGGGCACCGGATTCTGTCCCGGTTGCCCCTCTTCCAGACTAGCTCTCTGCTATGGCCCGGGAGTGCAGTGGAGGATGGCCCAAGTGCTTGGGCCCTGCACCCACATGGGAGACCAGGAGAAGCACCTGGCTCCTGGCTTCGGATCAGCACGATGCGCCGGCTGCGGCGGCCATTGGAAGGTGAACCAACGGCATAAAAGGAAGACCTTTCTCTCTGTCTCTCTCTCTCTCACTGTCCACTCTGCCTGTCCAAAAAAAAAAAAAAGTAAATTCTGCCTCCACAATACCTATATGAATAATTTCTTACTCTAATTTTCATAGTGTGATCCATGTTAGGATTACTTTATGGATTTCGGTTTTTGTATCCTTCGTTCTTTTTTCTAATTTATTTGAAGGCAGAGTACAGAGGAAGAGGAGAAAGATCTTGCATCTGCTGGTTCACCCCCTAAATGGCTGCAATAGCCAGGGCTAGGCCAGGCCAAAGCCAGGAGCCAGGAGCTTCTTTTATGTCACGAGGGGCTTCCTTCATGTTGCCAGGAGCTTCCTTGAGGATGCAGGAGTCTGCTTTTCCAGGCCATTAGCAGAGTGCTGGATTGGAAGTGGGATAGCCGGGACTCTAACCGGCGCCCATGTGGGATGCTGGCATTGGTGGTGGCGGCTTTACCTGCTGCGGCACAGCACTGGCCCCTAGAGAAAAGTCTTCCATCTGACTAAAAGGCCACAGTGGCCAGAGCTGGGCCGATCCTAATCAGAACCAGGAACTTCTTCTTGGTCCCCCACACGAGTCCAAGGGCCAAGCACCGCAGCCATCCTCTGCTGCCCTCCTAGGCAACAACAGAGAGCTGGCTGCAGGCTTGGAAGAGGAGTAGCCAGACCTAGAACTGGTGCTGATATGGGACATCAGCTCCCTCTCATGGCTTTTTTAACACATGGGTTTCTTACCCCTGCCACCACAATGAATTCTTTCTGTCTTTCTAGTTTTTTTTTTTTTTTTTTTTTTTTTTTGTTGTTGTTGTTGTTGTTGTTTTAATGATTGTGCTTTTCTTTGCCAAACTTTTACACTTTTTTTAAAAAAATAATTTATTTTATTTATTTGAAAGAGTTACAGAGAGAGAGAGAGAGAGAGGTCTTCCATCCACTGGTTCATTCCACAGATGGCTGGGACAGTCAAAGCTGGGCTGATCTGAAGCTGGGATCTCCCATGTGGGTGCAGGGGTCCAAGGACTTGGGCCATCCTCCACTGCTTTCCTAGGCCATAGCAGAGAGCTAGATCGGAAGAGGAGCAGCCAGGGCTTGAACCTGCAGGCCAGGGCTTCATCCACAGTGCCAACTCATATTTATTTTTATCTCAAGAATTTATTATCTTTTTTTTTTTTTTAAGATTTATTTATTTGAAAGAGTTAGAGTTAGAGTTAGAGAGAGAGAGATGCACTGGTTCACTCCCCAAATGGCTACAGTGGCCAGAGCTGAGCTGAGCTGAGCCAGAAGCCAGGAGCTTCTTCCAAGTCTCCTATATGGATGTGGGGACTTAAGCACCTGGGCCATCCTCCACTGCCTTCTCAGGCACATTATCAGGGAGCTGGATTGGAAGAGGAGCAGCCAAGAAACTAACTGGCACCCATATGGGATGCTGGCACTGCAGGCCAGGGCTTTAACCAGCCGCACCACACACTGGCCCCATTATCTTTTTACTGCAGTTTTTCTCCCAGCTATCTGCGTGGTTTACTCTTCCACTTTAGATCTCTGTTGAGTTGTTTCTTTATTTTATAAACTGTGATGTTATTTACGATGGTAGTTCATCCTTTATTCTTTGCTTTACATTCTTGATGTTTTACTTGTTTCCTGTTATCTGTTTGTCCTCAGTGAAATGGAATTTTGTTAAGGCAATGGAAAATACTCAACTTATTTTGTGTGCCTTCAAATTGTGCTTTATTTTGAGTATAAATCTAGGCCTTAAAATTTATCATGTATTTATTTTTTTGTTTTCAGGCCTCGAAGTAGAGGAAAAACTGCAGTGGAAGATGAGGACAGCATGGATGGACTGGAGACAACAGAAACAGAAAATATTGTGGAAACAGGTATGAAAACTTAATAAGAATTTTTAAAAGTACATAATAATTTGTGCCTGTCTATATACTACATTCAACATTTATGTGGCAATATATTATATTAACACTTGTCTATATACCGATCTTTAATTTTTAAATTTTTTTTGAAAGAGTTACAGAGAGAGGTAGAGACAGAGAGAGAGAGGTCTTCCATCCACTGGTTCACTCCCCAGGTGGCCGCAACGGCCAGAGCAGTGCTGATCTGAAGCCAAGAGCCAGGAGGTGTTCTGGGTCTCCCACACCAGTGCAGAGGCTCAAGGACTTGGGCCATCTTCTGCTGCTATCCCAGGCCATGGCTGAGAGCTGGATCGGAAGAGGAGCAGCTGGGACTAGAACTGGCACCCATATGGGATGCCAGCACTTCAGACCAGGGCTTTAACCCACTGCGCCACAGCACTGGCCCCTGAACTTTAATTTTTAAAATAGTTATTTGAAAGTTCACAGGAGCGAGAGCGTGCAAGGGACATGGGGGCGGAGGGAGGGGACGCAGTAATCTGGATTACTACCCACATTGCCAAAAGGCCAGGCTGGGTGAGGCTGAAGCAGGAGCTCGGAACTCCACCTGGGACTCCCATGTAGGTGGCAGGGTCCCAAGTACTTGGATCAGTCTTCACCGTTTTTCCAGGGACATTAGCAGGGAACTGTATCTGAAGCAGAGCAGTTGAGAGTTAAACATGCACTCTGATAGGGGATGCTGACAGTGCAACTGGAAGCTTAACCCACTGTGCCATAGTGCCGACTGCTGTATACTGAACTCTTAAGTAATTTCCATCTGTCTAGTTTGATGACTAGTAGTAAAATTTTAAAAATCAGTTCTCCTTTTCTACTTTCCCTCTTCTAAAATTATTTATTTATTTTTATAGATTTTATTTATTTATTTGAGATACAGAGTTACAGACAGAGGGAGGGAGAACTTCCATCTGCTGGTTCACTCTCCAAATGGCTGCAACAGCTGGGTCTCAGGTCAAAGCCAGGAGCTAGAAGCTGCTTCTGGGTCTCCCACGTGAGTGCAGGGGCCCAAGCACTTGGGCCATCATCTGCTGCTTTCCCAGGCCATAGCAGGGAGCTGGACTCCAACTGGTGCCTGCATGTGATGCCGGGGCTGCAGGTGGAGACTTAACCTTCTACACTGCCGGGCTGCCCCCAAAAACTCATTCTTATAGCCATACTTTTTCTTTGTCATTTTACCTATCACTAACAATTACTGCTTCATTTCCAAAATCTGTATTTCAAATATTCTGCCCTCTGACTTCCACCTTTTCTTCCACACCCATAGTTTCCAACTGGATCAAGATCTCCAGTTCAATTATCAATAGTGTTTGTTCACTCTTCCTTTTTCTTTCTTTCTAGTTCAAACTCTGTGAATCAATATTGTAGTCACCCTCTTGTACATCCTTAGCTTCCTTGCTGTTCCCCTCTGTCTTGTTTTTATGGTAGAACACAAATTTGGCCTTGTAGCAGCTGGACATACCTGGAAAAAAATCCATAATCTTACTTACTAGTGGTTTTATTTAAATCTGTTACCTCAGCTCTCAAGTGGATAAAGATTGCTAGTGTCCCTTCTCCTTTTTTCTTTTTTGTTTTTAAGATTTATTCATTCATTTGAAAGGTAGAGTTAGAGAGAGAGGGAGAGAGAGAGAGAGAGAGCTTTCATCTACTGGTTTACATATTGTTTTCAGCATCAAATCCTTCATTTTAGAAGAAATAAAACCAGTTATTTTTTTTTTAAAGATTTTATTTGTTTACTTGAAAGTCAGAGTTACACACAGAGAGAAGGAAAGGCAGAGAGAGAGAGGTCTTCCATCTGTTATTTCCTTCCCCAATTGGCTGCAAGGGCCACAGCTGCGCTGATCAGGAGCTTCCTCCGGGTCCTCCAAAGCACTTGGGCCATCTTCTACTGCTTTCCCAGGCCATAGCAGAGAGTTTGATTGGAAGTGGACCAGCTGGAACTTGAACCGGTGCTCATATGGGATGCCGGCACTGCAGGTGGCACCTTGATCTGCTATTGCCACAGCACTGGCACCATTCTCTTTTTACTAGAAATTTTTTTCTGTCATTATTGATGATCATTTCATCATCTTTTTTTCTGTCTTCAAAATTCTAACAGTTGCTCCCATTTTTTACTTTTCAGCTGATGATCTTTTTTATTTCAATGAAAAAAAAAAGTAGAAGTGATTGTAAAGTTCTACCTTCATCTACCCTCAAATTTACTTTCATGCTTGCATCTCAAGCCATATATTCTGTATTCCTTCCTGATTCAGTGGGATGAGGAGGATCTGTGGCTAACTAAGGCCGACTCTTTTGCTTGTGTCCTGGAGTTTATCCCTTTACCTAATTTGGACTTTGAGCTTATAGTGTTTTTTGTCCTTTTAGCAAAAATCCTTGAAGAGCTGTCTGTACCAACAGTTGCTACTTGTTCACCATTTTCTCATGAACCCACTCTAATCAGGCCTTCTTCCTCTCCTTATGCTAACATTTTTCTGATTATACCACCAATAATCTCATATTTGGCTCAGCCAGGTTTTAGTTTTGATTCTTCTTAGCCAGTATTGTTTCCTGCAGCTAACCACAGTCGGGTGTGAAGCTTGTTCATTTGTTTCTTTCTTGACTTTCAGGATGCTTCTGCTCAGCTCATCCTCTTATGCAGTAGGTGGTCGTCTTCAGTTTTTTCCTTTCTTTTTTGATAAAAGGACTTATTTTATTTATTTGAAATGTAAAGAGTAGGATAGACAGAGATCTTCCATCCATTGATTCACTCCCCAGATGGCTGCAACAAGAGGGGCTGGGCTCGCTGAAGCCAAGAACCAGAAACTCCATTTTGGTCTCCCACATGGGTGCAGGGGCCCAAATGTTTGGTCCATCTTTCCACTTCTATCCCAGGTACATTAGCAGGGAGCTCTTTAATTATTAGCAGTTGTATACAGCCTTTATCTTCAACTTGCTTCTAAGCATCTCCTGTTAGATACATAACGAGGATTTCACACTTAATAAATCTTCCTTGGACCTTTTTATTGTTATCCTAAAATTTTCAGCTCACCTAGTGTTCTCACCTCAGTAAATACTGTATATTGTTCAAGTTACAAACATAGGCTCTTTGTTGATTTCTCTTACTTATCATACAGCCCTCTGGAAAATCCTTTGTGCTTTACTTTACAATATATCCTGAATTCAACCTTTTTTATCTTCTCCACTGCTATCATTCCAGAATGACAGACTGCTGTTATTCTTTCCTAACCCAGTGTCCCTAAGTGTGCATCCCTGTATTTGCATAATGTTTCCCCCATTGTCGCCACTGTGATTCTCTAAACCCAATGTAAGAACCTTTTATTTCCCTGTGCCAACCATACAAAGCCTCTGGTAATATCTACAGTAAAACCCAAGGTCTGTACCTACTGATCATACTCACCTGTTCAACCATATCTTCTTTCCTTGTTATTTCTTGAGTGAGCACACATATTCCTTTCTCAGCCATTCATATGTTTTGTCTTTCCTTGGCTTATTGCCATGTCTCATTTAAGTCTCTGTTCAGTGGCTTTCTTCCTACAGAAGCCTTCCTAACCAACTTGTCTATGAAGCATTGTTATTACCTTCTGCTTATAGTCCTCTTTCTACTATTTAACAGATATAACATTATAGTCTGTATTTGTTTGTTATATACTTTTTCAATCTAGAATGTAAGCTTTATGAAGTTTAGAATTTGTCTTGTTCTTTAAGTAATTTAATCTTGTACTTTATCCCGAATACCAATTCTAGGCACATGGTAGGCATTCAATTCACTACTTGAAGTTGTGTTATATTCTTAAGTTTTCTTATGCTGCATACTGTGTAACAACTTCACAAAACTAAATTTCTCACATTTTTTTTTCTTGCCTGATGAGTAGTAAGCCTCACAAAGTTACTGTTTTCTCATGCCTTCTCCCATGAGAGGTCAGTGCAAATAAGGATAAATGTTTCAATAGATCAGGAAGATGATTTTTTTACTTTGGATTTTATACTTAAATTAAGTAAAGCCAAGTATATTAGTATTTGCTCTGTTGTCCTTGGATGGACCATTGTCCAGTTCTTTTAGTAAATGCAAAGAGCAAAGAGAATAGTGAAGGAAAAGATAAAGAACAACCTACAAATAAACCCAAGGAAAAAGAATAGTTCCATAAATTTATAGTTAATGTAAAAGCGAACTCAAATTTGCTGCATGGTTTTAATCTCTTTATGTGTGTCTCAAGATTCAAGGGTTTACTGAAAGCTTTTTTAAAAAATATTTATTTACATAGAGAGAGAAAGAGAAAAAGAGGGAAGGAGGGAGAGGTCTTCCATCCATTGGTTCACTCCCCAGGTGACCTTAAAGGCTGGAGCTACGCCGATCTGAAGCCACGAGCCAGGAGCTTCCTCTGGGTCCCCCACGTCAGTGCATGGACCCAAGGACTTGGGCCATCTTCTACTGCTTTCCTAGGCCATAGAGAGCTGGATTGGAAGTGGAGCAGCTGGGACTCAAACCGGCTTTACCCGCTGCACCACAGCTCTGGCCCCTGAAAGTTTTATTTTATTACTGCCAATTCTATACCTGACAATATGAGAATATTAATTATAAAAAGCATCCTATCTTAGTGGGTAGGTGGGAATGGGTAATCTGTAGTGGATACTGAGAGAACAGTAAGAGGGCCCAGCACTGTTGTATACCAGGTAAAGCCGCTGCCTGCAATGTTGACATCTCATATGGGCTGCTCCGCTTTCCTAATCCAGGTCCCTGCTGATGCACCTGGGAAAGCAGCACAAGGTGGCCCAAGTGCTTGGGCTGATCTCTGCACCCATGTGGGAAACCCAGAAGAAGCTTCTGACTTCTGGCTTCTGCCTAGCCCAGCCCGGCCATTGCAGTTCTATCAATATCCAGGATAAAGCCAGGAGCCAGGAATTCCATCTGGTCTCCTACATGGGTGACAGGGGAAAGCACTGGTCATCATCTGCTGCCTTCC